CAAATTTAAGAAGACCAAAATCATATCAGGTATCTTTTCCAACCACAATGGTTTGAAACAAGAAATCAATAATAGGAGGAATTTCAAAAAATTCACAAATACATGAAAATTAAACAACATGCTTTTAAACAAAAAAGAAGAGGGAAAATTTAAAACATCTTGAAATGAATGAACAGGGAAATATAACATGCCAAAACTAATGGGATGAAGCAAAAGCAGTTCTAAGAGGGATGTTTATAACAATAAATGCTTACCTCAAAAAAGAAAAAAAGTTTCAAAAAATCAACCTAATGTTACATCTCAAGGAACTACAAAAATAAGAAGAAACAAAGCCCAAAGCTAGTAGAAGGAAGGAAATATAAAGATCAGATCAATAAATGAAATAGAAACCAGAAAAATAGAAAAGACCAACAAAAATAAGAGGTAAACAAATTAAAGATAAACAAATTTGACAAATTTTTAGCTAGACTAAGAAAAAAAGAGATGGGACTCAAATAAATAAAAATCAGGAATGAAACAGGAGACATTACAACTGATACCATAGAAAAACAAAGGATCATAAGAGACTGCTATGAACAATTATATGCCAACAAGTTGGATAAACTAGAAGAAATGAATAAATTCCTAGCCACATAAAACCTACCAAGACTAAACGATGAAGAAATAGGAAATCTAAACAGACTAGTAACAAGAGATTAAATCACTAATAAAAAATCTCCCATTAAAGAAAAGCCTAGGACTGGATGGAGTCACTGCTGAATTCTACCAAACACTTAAAGAAGAATACCAATCCTTCCAAACTTTTCCAAAAAACTGAAGAAGGAATATTTCTAAACTCATTTTTTGATGGAATCATTATACTGATACCAAAGCCTGACAAGAAAACTACAAGAAAAGAAAATTACAGGCCAATATTCCTAATCAACATAGATGCACAATTCCTCAACAAAATACAAGCAAACTGAATTCAACTGCACATTAAAAGGCGCATTCACCATAATCAAGTAGGCTTTACCCAAGAGATGCAAAGATGGTTCAACATTTGCAAATCTATGAATGTGATGCACCACATTAACAGAAAGACAAAAAGCAATATGATCTTTTCAATAGATACAAAAAAAGCACTTAAAAATTCAACACCCTTTCATAATAAAAACTCAACAAACTAGGTATAAAAGGAATATACCTCTACACAGTAAAGGCCACGTAAAACAAATCTACAGTTAAAAAATGCCCACTCTTGCCACTTCTATTGAATACAGTACTGGAAATCCTAGTCAGAGCTACTAGAAAAGAGAAAGAAAGAAAAGCCATTCAAATTAAAAGGATATTTGTGGATGACATGATCTCATATACAGAAAATCCTAAACATTCCTCCAAAAAACTGAAAAAACTAATAAACAAATTCAGTAAAGTTGCAAGATACAAAATCAACGTACAAAAATCTGTAGTACTTCCATACACTCACAACAAACCAGCTAAAAAAGAAATGAAGAAAATCCCATTTACAATAGCTACAAAAAAAAATTCTTAGGAATAAATTTAAACAAGGAGGTTACCTATACACTGAAAACTATAAAACACTGATAAAAAAAATTAAAGCACATGTAGTATATAAATGAAAAGATATCCCATGTTCATGGAGGGAAAGAATTAATATTGTTAAAATGTCCATACTACCCAAAGTGATCTACAGATTCAATGCAAAGCGATGTACAAATTCAAGGCAATCCCTATCAAAATTCCTACATTCTTCACAGAAATAGAAAAAACAATCCTAAAATTCACACAGAACAACAAAAGACCCTAAACAGCCAAAGCAATCTTGACAAAAATGAACAATGCTGGAGGCATCACATAACCTGACTTCAAAATATACTATACTCCAAAGCTATAGTAATCAAAACAGCATGGTACTAGTATAAAAACAGACACAAAGATCAGCAAAACAGAATAGAGAGCCTAGAAATAAATCCACATATTTATGGCCAATTGATTTTTAACAAAGGTGCCAAGTACACACAAAGGGGAAACGATGGCCTCTTCAATGAATGGTGCTGGGCAAACTAGATATCCATGTGTAGAAGAATGTAATCCAATTCTTATCTCACAACATATACAAAAATCAACTCTAGAAGCATTAGACTTAAACATCAGACCTAAAACTGTAAAACTACTAAATAAAACATAGGGGAAAAGCTTCTTGACATTGGTCTGGGTTCCCAAAGATGGCATACAAATGGCCAACACGTATATGAAAAAATGCTCAAAGTCACTAATAATCAGGGAAACGAAAATAAAAACCACAATGAGATACCACCTCACACCTGTTAGAATGGCTATTATCAAAAAGATGAACGATAACAAGTGTTGGTGAGGATGTGGAGAAAAGGGAACCCTTGCACACTGTTGGTAGAAATGCATATTAGTACAGCTATTATGGAGAAAAAAAATACAGGGTCCCCAGAAAATTAAAAATAGGACTACCATGTGATCCAGCAATCTCATTACTGGGTGTGTACATATATATGTACACACCCAGTAATGATATATATATATCCAAAGGAAATGAAATCAGTATGTTGAAGAGAAGTCTGTAGTGCCTTATTCACAGCTTCACAGCAACATTATTCACAATAGCTAAGACATGGAATCAACCCAAGTGTCCATCAGCAGATGAATGGATAAAGAATATGTGGTTTATATACACAATGGAATACTATTCAGCCTTGAAAAAAGCCCTGTCATTTGCAACAACACATATGAACCTGGAGGACATCATGTTAAGTGAAATTAACCAGGCACAGAAAGACAAATACCACATGATCTCACTTATATATGGAATCTAAAAAAGTTGCATTCACAGAAGCAAAAGTAGAATGATGATTTCCAGAGGCTTCAAGGTGTGTGAAAGGGGATGTTGGTCAAAAGATGAAAAATTTCAGTTAGATAGGAGGAATAAATTCAAAAGATCTATTGTACAACATGATGACTATATTAATAACAATTACTGTACTCTATAACATTGCTGAGAGTAGATTTTGAGTGTTCTCATCACAAACAGTGGTATGTGAGGTAATACATAATATGTTAATCAGCTCAATTTAGCCATTCCACAAAGTATACATATTTCAAAACATCATGTTGCACATGATAAATACATACAATGTTTGTCAATTTAAAATAATTAATTTTGTAAAAAGTGACAAACATCTCAAAGAAGGATAAAACAACAAAAATGCCTGTGGACAACATCCTTACCTATTCTTATTTGTCAATACATAAGCAACTTCACAAGAAAACAACACTGCATTTAATAAGAAAACAATGGAAGAACGTGTACTTTTTATTCAGTATTTTGTTTCGTAACTGTTTATATTATGGCACTAAGTCAAATAAGAGTCTCAGCCAAAAATAAACTGAAAGTTTTTCAAAAAATCACAAGTGCTTCCTAGCTCTCTCAGAACCAACAGATTTTAATGATTACTTGGGTTCAACGGTTTCCTGACAGAAAATGCTAAGAGCCAGAGCTTCATAGGTATACAGTTCAAAGTCACTAAAAATATCCCTGAAGGGTAAATATTTTGGGACTAGTAAAATTCAGGTGACAAAAGAACCATCCAAATAGCTTCAGAAAGTTATAAACAGAATAAATGAAGTGTGGCATATTCAAACAACAGAATACAACTCAGGAGAAAAAAACATGAAATACTGATACATGCAATGACATGGATAAATATCAAAAAAATTAGGCTGAGTGAAAGAAGCCTTACATAAAAGTTACATCCTGTATGATTCCATTTATGTGTTAGTCTAAAACAGGAAAAAGTGATCCATGGTAAAAACAAACAAATAAAATCACAACAGTAGTGACTTCTGAGGATAGGGCAGAGATGAAAACTGACTGGAAAAAAATATGAGGGAATTTTCTGGGATGATGTATATGTTCTATATCTTACTATGAGTTGGGTTTACACAGATGTATACATTTGTCAAAATTCACCACATGAAATACTTGAGATTTGTGCAAAATTGTACATAAATTAACCTTAAAAAATTAATATTAAGCGAATATTGATAACTCTACTAATATATCATGGTGAAGTATTTGGGATGAAATGTACATATACCTGTAACTTAATGCATAAAAAAATTAGATGGACAGATTGTAATAAAGCAAATATAGGGAAAAATTAACAGCTGAAGAATCTAGGAGTTGAGTAATTGGGGTACACTGTACAATTTTTCAGCTTTTCTGTATGTCTGAAAATTTCTATAATAAAATATTGAAAAAAAACCCAAAGAGAACAACCAGAACTTAAATAAAAATATATATATAAGTATGTTTTCTTCAATATTAACAATTTTCCTTTTATATATTGCTATGGTTTAGATGTGGTTTGTCCCCACCACAACACATGTTGAAGTTTAATAGCCAATGTGGCAGTGTTGGGAGGTAGGGTCTAGTGGGAGGTGTTTGGGTCATGGGGGCAGATCCCTCATGAATAGATTATTGCCATCCCATGAGAGTGAGTTCTCACTCTCATGGGACTGAATTAGTTACTGCAAGGGCAAAGGTTTGGTCCCTTTTGGCACACCATTTCCCCTTCTGCTTCTCCACCACATTGTGATGCAGCCAGGTGGTCCTCACCAGAAGCCAAGCAGATGCAAGCACCATGCTTCTTGGACTTTCCAGCCTCCAGAATCATGAGCCAAAGAAATGCCTTTTCTTTACCTTTCTGCTTCTCCACCACATTGTGATGCAGCCAGGTGGTCCTCACCAGAAGCCAAGCAGATGCCAGCACCATGCTTCTTGGACTTTCCAGCCTCCAGAATCATGAGCCAAAGAAATGCCTTTTCTTTACCTATTACCCAGTCTCAGGTACTCTGTTATAGCAACACAAAATAGACTGACATATATTAACATTTTAACATGTCTAATGTAATAACAAGAGCAAGACTTAAAGGATAACATATTTTTAAAAATTTGGAAGACATACCCGAATTTCTTGAAGGTTGTGAAAATTATTTCCTACTCTGACTGAGATCTTGCTTGGAGTATAGCTTTCATCAGATTTGTAGTCTGCATAAATACATAATGTCTTCACTGTTGTTTTTCTTCTAAAAGCAATAAAGTAAAAACAACATGCACTTTATCATATGAAAATATTATTTCCAAAGCATCTTATCTTCTGATTTTGAAAACCATAGTTTGCTAAAACAAGTATTTGAATCAACAATTTTCATTTCCTTTAATTTCAACAATAAGAAAATGAAGAACATGTGAAAATATAGGTATAGATATAATATTTTACTTACATAGACATTTCTTATATAGAACATGGTCAAGAACAAGATGAGAGCAAAGAAGGAACAGTTAAACCAAATTAGGAACAGTTAACCAAATCATATGTATACTATATACTATATACAGTTTCATTACATTTGCAAAAGAAACTGTGACCTCACCAAAGGTACACTTATTACTCTAAAAGATACACTAAAATCTTGTAAAGCTATCAATTTTATCTCACGACGAGTTTAAAAAATATTGCATAGGAAATCATGCTGTTTCTCAAACAGCAATATATGTTTACCACATATATTGAGACACAGTGGCAGTTACTCAAATCATTATTATAATAATAATCACCATATGTTGAATGCTTATTATATGCTGGGCATCATACTAAACTCTTAGTATACCGCAGGAGTGGAGAAAAAAAGGAGGTAATACTTCCCTATTTTTGACAACACAAGTAACATTCCCAGCCTCTCTCTATCTCCTCACCCACTACACTCTTTGTTCTGAGAAAGAGTTGCTGGCAGAAAGCAAACATGCCACATTCCTTCGTGCCACGAATTTAATAGGGGCAGGTGCTACCTGGCTTAGCACTTTTATAACTAGATGGGTAAGCCTGTTTAATTCTAGGGTTGAATATTACGGAACATAGTTGACTATAGATATAATGCAGTTATGATGTTTCTCAAACATCAGCCCTGTCAGTTTTATAAAGGTGATATTTTGACTGCAACATGCTGACTCTCGAATTTTTTTTTTTTTTTTTTTTTTGTCCTTTTTGAGACCGGCCACATCGCGCTCAGCCAGTGAGCGCTGTGAGCACACCGGTCATCCCTATATGGGATCCGAACCCGCGGCGGGAGAGCTACTGCACTCCCAGTGCTGCACTCCCCCAAGTACGCCACGGGCTCGGCCCATCGAATACTTTCTCATCTGGTTTGGAATCCATGACATTCCAACAGAATACATTAATGACAGATACTCCAGTTGCCTACCCAATGCCCCTTTATCCCTTCTTCACAAAATCCAGCTAAAGACCCAACTTCCCTTAAAGCTAGGTACGATCACATGAGTAAGTTATAGCCAGTAAGATTTGAACGAAATAATTGTGTATTACAAAGAAGTTTTTTTTATTTTTATTTTTTTAATTTTATTTTGTCAATATCCAATGTGGTTGATTATTGTGGCCCATTACCAAAAACCTCCCTCTATCCTCCCTCTCCCCCCCCCACCCAACAATGTCCTTTCTGTTTGCTTGTCGTATCAACATCAAGGAACTGTAGCTGTTATGTCTTCTTCACCCCCCCCCAGTTGTGTGTGTGTGTGTGTGTGTGTGTGAATTTATTTATTTATTTTTAGCTCCCACCAATAAGTGAGAACATGTGGTATTTCTCTTTCTGTGCCTGACTTGTTTCACTTAATATAATTCTCTCAAGGTCCATCCATGTTGTTGCAAATGGCAGTATTTCATT